GAAATGAAGAAAAAAGACAGCGTGCGAGTGCTTGCTTTCTCCGGTTTTTAATTTGTCTCGCTGCATGCTTTTTATGTGATTGGGTGGAAAGATCCTCGCTTGATAGCCTCATTCCCGTATTCGACCATGTATCCTACTAGAAATTTCGACTCCGACATGCTTGTGCAAGGCTCTACCACCCTCATTCATTTGGCCTTCACGTTATGGAAGATCGATGCACGACTACTAGAGGGGACGTGGAGAAAAATAGATCAGAAAAAGGACTAAGGCTTACAAGCCCAGAAAGATGATAATTTGTATTAGGTGGCACATCCATTCCGCCGCCTCGCGTTCTTTAAGAACACTCCTTACTAATACAACTATTTTTGTGCTGCCTTTTTTGGAGTGGGTACTGCATTAGCTTATACATAGAGATATGAAAAAACGATTAAATGGCCTCCTTGACCGACAGGATCGTGTCTATTTCCTCTGTCAACCCCCCTCATTCAAATTTCCGCATCAGCTACTGCGCACCGCGGGAACAGGCGGGAATTATTTCAGGCCATCATCTCCTCGACCTCTTCATCCTCGTCAAACTCTCCCTCCTCCTCGGCGGTAGCATCCTGAGTAACGCAGAGGTCAAATACACATGAGAAGTTAATTTGATATTAAGATTGTGAATGTGGTCGGACAAAAGGAGTTTTAACAATGTACCTGATATTGCTGGTACTCAGAGACGAGGTCGTTCATATTACTCTCGGCCTCGGTAAATTCCATCTCGTCCATCCCTTCGCCAGTGTACCTTTGAGGCGAAATGATTATGCACAATGTAGGGGTGTTGCAAGAAAATAAGTGACGGCAGAGGTGAAGACAATAGCTAGTTCGACCACCCACTGAAAAGAAGGTAGCACATCACACAGTGCCAAAATCCGTCAGATGGCGTCAATACACTACCCTCCCTCCCGCAACTTCTTACCAATGCAAGAAGGCCTTACGCCGGAACATGGCCGTGAACTGATCCGAGACACGTTTCCAGACCTCCTGGACCGCCGTGGAGTTTCCAATGAAAGTGGTCGACATCTGGTGTGGGCAAGACGACGGGACGGGGAAACGTCAAGAAAAGTGGCGCGCTTACTCGCTCGTGCATCAGGAACTGTGTATGGTCATTGACTCCCGCAAAAACACGATAGATTCGTTCTATTTCTCTGTCCCGTTCTCCCATCCCTACCTTGAGGCCCTTGGGAGGGATGTCGCAAATAGAGGCCTTGACGTTGTTTGGAATCCACTCGACGAAGTATGAGGAATTCTTATTCACGACGTTGAGCATCTGCTCGTCCACTTCCTTGGTGGACATGCGACCCCGGAACATGCACGCGCACGTCAGATAACTGGAAGGAAATTGCAATGGAATATGGGCGGGTGAGCATATCAAGTCAAAGACAAATTCCTTTCGTGTTTGTGAATAAGCGGAGACATCCATTATTTGATGGGAAAGCACTGCTCTCGCTGACGCACCGGCCATGGCGGGGGTCCGCCGCGCACATCATGTTCTTGGCATCGAACTGCTGCTGTGTGAGCTCGGGGACTGTCAAAGCCCGATACTGCTGAGAGCCGCGTGAAGTCTGTGTGGCAAGAAGAATGAGGACAAGTGGGTGAGAAATGGCATCACGAGGGGCTGGAACAGAAGAGAGAGTGTCACAGACTCGTACCAGAGGCGCGAAGCCAATCATGAAGAAGTGAAGGCGCGGGAAGGGCACCATGTTGACGGCCAGCTGTATCAAAAGAATGAAGGACGGTGTCAATATTTGATAGTAGACCGAATGCAGTCTGGATGGACGCATCGAAGAAAAAGAGGAATTGAATACTTGTGTACCTTGCGCAAGTCACAGTTGAGTTGCCCCGGGAAACGGAGGGAGCAGGTCGTCCCGCAAATAGCAGCAGAGACGAGATGATTCAAGTCACCGTATGTAGGCGTAGTCAATTTCAGGGTGCGGAAGCAGATATCATAGAGGGCCTGTGTGGTTGAGACAGTTGAGAGCGTAAAGGAGACAGAAATCAGTCATGAGGACGAAGAAGGATTTCGAAGGTGGAAAGGGTTGGGGGGGGGTCCTACCTCATTGTCGAGTACGAAGCACTGATCAGCATTCTCGACAAGCTGGTGTACAGAAAGTGTGGCGTTATAAGGCTCCACCACCGTGTCTGAGACCTGTTTGTTGGAGAAGTGTGTGACATCAGCGAGATCAGGAAGGCGAAGGTACGGAGTGATAAAGCAAGTAGGATCCTTGATAATCGTTGACACAGGGTCTTCTCCAGCTCTCTACGATTGAATCGTGTGCTTTTACCTTTGGGGAGGGAATGATTGAATAGGTGGACATGACACGGTCTGGGTATTCTTCGCGGATTTTGGAGATTAAAAGCGTGCCCATTCCAGCTCCGGTGCCCCCGCCCATTGAGTGCGTGAGCTGGAAGCCCTGAAGACAGTCGCAGGATTCGGCCTCTTTCCTGACTACATCCAGCACGGAATCAATAAGCTCCGCACCTTCCGTGTAATGTCCCTTGGCCCAATTGTTTCCAGCCCCGGTTTGACCGAAAACGAAATTATCTAAAAAAGGGCGAGGAGGAGGATGGAAGGACACATGGTTCAGGACGGCAAACTCATATATGCTCAAATATAAGGCACCTGACAATGTCTGATCCCTATACAATCCATTACTGAAAAAGTTTTCATCCCCCGCGCCTCGTTGGCTTCTCTTTACCTGGGCGGAAGAGTTGACCGAAGGGGCCAGCGCGGACACTGTCCATAGTTCCGGGTTCGAGGTCCATCAGGATAGCTCGAGGCACGTAGCGTCCACCGGTTGCCTCATTAAAGTAAACATTAATGCGCTCTAGCTGCAAATCAGAGTCACCATGGTAGGCGCTTGTGAAATGGGAGAAGGAAAGAAGGTGCAAAGGTAAGTGCACGCGATGTGGCACAGTAGACGGGACGAGACTAAAGCACACCATGCAAAATGTGAAGAGATCGCGCACAATCTGACGATCGTTAGAAGAGAGGCTTATGTTATCACTTCTATTCCCCATTTCGGGCATTTCGAATGCCCCATTGATCTCATTTATTTACCCGGTCGGATCTACGCCATGTTCGTCGGCGATGACTTCCCAGAATTTCGCCCCAATTTGGTTCCCACATTGCCCCGCCTGGACGTGCACAATTTCACGCATGCTTCACAAAAAAGACAGCTTCTTGATATTGGCTTTTATCTATGATCATATATGTGCGTGTGAGAAAGACAAAACGTAAGGATACAATTTATTGGTGAAGTGTGAAATTTCGTCATTGACATGTCAGAAGTGCATGCGCGCTGGTTATATGTGCAAACAGCCTGATCAAGTCATTCAAAGTCGTCCACACTTATTTTCACATGTATCAACAGCCCAAACTCTCGTAGCGGAGAGCCATATTTTACAATCGCTTTCCCTCTTCCAAAAAGTACAATGGCGGAGAAACGTTTTCCCTTTGCGCTAACTGTGCAAGGCATTTTTCTGTAATATCATACGTTCTCCGCGGTACAGTATTAGGAAGGCAAGCCAAAATTGTAAACCCGAAGCTTCCAGTGCCGGTATGCCGTTGATAATTTTTAATTGCTGGACGGGCAAGGGCTAGAAAAGGGGGGCCGACCCCAAAAGTTGGCAACCGGCCGTCGGTCAATCCATGCGCAGTGCTGAGACACAAAATCTCTCGACTCTACACCCAGACCTATAAATTGTGATTCCTTCAATATTATTATCTTTTGAAGTTTTATTCATGGCCTTTGAGTTGCGCCGACAGACGAAAACTACTCCCAAAAAGTGTACCATCGGACATGGTCGCTCTCCCGGCCTGCACTCGCCCAAAATTCCCGGGACGATGCTGAATACAACCCGATTTACAAAAAACGTACGTCAGCAATATGCTGGCAAAATTAAGGGACGTTTCGACAACTCGAAAATGCTTTGCGTGGGGCATCAGCAGGCGAAAGAAAAGGGCGGCGCACGCATGCACTTTTTCGTGTAGGTTTTGCTGGGGTTTCGCCGGACAAAAGAAGGAACTTTTCGATCCATCCTCGCTGAAGACATACGTCATACCCTCAAGTCGGCCCATAGCACCTGGGGCGGACAGGCGTGCTACTATTCCTTCGGGGGGCTGAGCCTGTCAATTAAAGCCGAATCGTGAATTTTTCTAAATGAATAACTTTAAAATTCATTTGATGGAGGATGGTGAGTGATGCAACGAAAATTGCGCTTACGGTACGGTATTTTATCAATTTTTCGTCTCCTTGTCCTGGGTATTCTGGGGCCTTGTCCGCGCTCCAGTTGATGCTAAGTTGCTATAAATCTTCTTCTTGTACGGCCCTTGTAGATTTAAAAACAGCAGTTCGAAAATCGTTGTCAGGTCTGCTTGATCCGCGGGGCACAATAATAAACAGGCCAGTGACCGCTACCGCGACGGTAATATGTCATTGTCTTCCACCATCGCTCATTGACAAAACCCGTCATGTCAGCATGGGGGAGAACATTTTTGCCGAATTCAATGCTTTCTTTCCAATTATTAATTATGAGGAGCTGTACATTGATAGTAACAAGCCACACGCTTTCAAATTATCCGTCGAAGAACATATCCCTCCCTCACTTCTCGACCCCAAACAATGTCTCCGCCTACACACCCGACTGACTTCCAATCTTTTTGCCCCCGACGATTCACAAAAGTATGTCAAACTTTTTTGCCCAGGACGAAGACGTCACTTTTTCCCTCCCCGCCGTTAGTCTTCCCTCATCGCATTTTCCAGACGCGCGCAGCACAAAAGCAACCGTTTTCGGCGTCCACTTTTCCTCCACGACCGCGAATCCTACCCGTGTCGTGACCAGTGAGCGGAATTTTCCCACAGTCATGTATTTGGAGTGGGTCAGGCAAGAGGAGGGCAAGATGAGGAACAAATATCCTTTGCTCGCTTCTAGATAGGCGTGGCAGCGACGGAGAAAGTCGCCCCGGGCAGAAGCGGTAGGAAGGGAATTGATCAGCATGGAGGCGACAATCACATCGAATGTGGAAAGCGGAGGTTGTGGCAGGTGAAAGAAGTCGATTTGTTGAATTCGGGCGTGGCGAGAGAGGAGATCGATGGCGGTAGTTTGCACAGCAGGACAATCGAGGAGGGTGGTGGTGATAGCCCCAACCTCCAGCAGCCGAGGTTTCTGAGAGGGCTGAGAGGGCGACAAGGATGGGGCGCTCTGCATCCTGATGATTCCCATGGCTTGTAGGCGGGCGAGGACCCACTTGCTCGTACTGTGAAAGGAGACAGAGAGCTGGGAGGCAGATTGATAGGCTGCCCGGCCCCCGAGTGCCTCCAAACTTTCTTGAAGCCTGGAAGCAGGGATCATTGCGTGTGCTCAGTTATGGTTATCGTATGTTGGGACTTGTGCCGCGCAAGATAGCAACCCCTGTACACATAGATACTCACCGACTGCGGTGTGCCTCCTTATCCACCAAATTTAGGTTCGCGTCCTCCTCAAGAATGGCCAGGGCATCGTTGACTTTATGAAATTGCGTCACAATCTTACGAGCCCTCTTTCGGCCTGATTCGATGCCAGTTGACGAAGGGAGAGCGTCAGATCAACTCTGGGGGGGGGGG